GGGGTGGGGGTAGGGGAACGGAAAAGGGAAAAGAGAGCAAACCCACTACCGTAGGAGCATATCTCTTTGCTCAGTGTTGCATTCCCGTTGGGGAAATTTCACTACCAAAATGGGCAAGAAATCTATGTCTAAGATCAGATGTTCATGACTGCACTTTCTTGTGTAGATGAGGCGGATGTGAATCTGCACTTAAACCACCAGTACTTCCGTTCGTTGCGGCTCGGAAATGGCCAGCCAAAAAAAAAGAGTCGCGATGTTTCCACTTTATTGGATTTATACCAGCGCCCCACGCCCGTTCATCCCAGCACGTCAAGGCTTTTTTTCGGCCTCGACTTTCGCAAGTACTGGTGGTTTAAGGGGGTCCCTCTTTTTTTTCCCAACCTGCAAAAGTGATTGAGCATGGCAAGTCTCTGTGCTAGCTGCACAGTGACCAGTGATATTTTGCTAGCACATTTATGATCCACATGTCCATCACTTGCGCCCTTGCGTGCCCTCTGTAGCACTTTCTGGTTGATTGGTATTTCTTATATCTGGAAAGGTGCTCTCCATCAGTCGTTAGTCCACTTGCGTGCAAGTCACAGAAGCGCACATATTTGGCAACAATTAGGCAGTGGTTATCTTTCTTTCTTTCTTTTTTTTTTTTCTTTTTTTTTGGTTGAAACATCCGAGCGGAAGCTGGGGGTGAACTGTGCTTTCTGCTGCCGTCGGATCTTTCTGCAATCTAAAGAACTGTTGTGGCTTTTGGCAGATGAGAGAGGGACTGTACTATAACCCGTATTTCCCAGGTGGAGCAATTGCAATGCCGAAGCAACTGACAGATGGACAAGTCGAGTATGAGGATGGAACACCAGCAACGGAATCACAGGTCTGTTTTCTTTTTTTTTTTTTTTCTGTCAGTATCCGCATAGAGGTGGTGTCCTTTTTTTTCTCCAGTGAGCTGCCTAGACGCACATCGTCGTTGTCAGTGCATCCACGTTGAGCTGTCTGTGCATTGTTGTCAATGTCCGGGTAGAGGTGGTGCCGTTTGCACATCGTTGCGGAGCTGTCTGTGCATCGTCGTTCCACATTCCGCATCCTACTTTCACAGTCTCAATATTTATTATTTTTCATTCTGGATGGTGCCCTAAAGGATGCCTTTTTCAAGGGACCCCTTTTTTGCAACCTGCATAGAAGAATAATACGACCGATCTCTCTCTTCTGCACACTCTCTCCTGGGGGCTGCTGCTCGTTGTTTGTGGGCGTTCACTCAGATATCAGTGTCACTGCAAAAAAGGGGTCCCTTGAAAAAGGGGGCATTCTATTGTCTGGTGTGTCCAAGGGGGCATTCCTGCGCATATTTCTGTTATGGGTGGACTTGAGCATGTTGTGGTAAACTGAGGACCTTCAGCACACATTTTTAAATAACTTCTCAATCGCATCATGAAGGTGACATGACATGCACCTGGAGCAAACAGTTAGACAGGGAAGAGAAATAACTTAACTTTGTTTTGAATTCCAAAGAAGAAAGTGCTGGGTGGAATGCAATAAATTTGATACTTTGCATTTGTACCATGTCGGAGACAATGTTTTCCTTCACAATGCTTCACTTCTCCTATTTTCATAATTTTTGGAAATTTGACTCAGGTTGGTTTAATCACTGGAGTTCTGACCGGGTCTTTCATTCACGAGCGGACACTTTTCCTAGTTTCGCGGTAAATTCCATTCAGCTGGTATAATCACTGGAATGCTGATCGGTTCACATCATCTCATCGGTGGCCATTGTTTTTTCTTTTTCTGTCTGACAATGTTTGTGTTGTGAAGGACTCGACGTGCAAGCATACTGTTGTGGATGACTGATTTCCTCTGTTGGACTGGAAGGGAGATTGACAAATGCTTGTTTATTTGTTTTATTTGTTAGTTTGTGTGTGTGTGGTTGTGTTCGCTATACACAACTGTACAAAAAAGCATGACTGTTTTGTCGAACTTTCACTGACTCATCATGTTTGTGTATGTGTGTGTGTGTGTGTGTGTGTGTGTGTGTGTGTGTGTGTGTTGTGTGTGTGTGTGTGTGTGTGSGTGTGTGTGTGCGCGCGCGCGTGTAATCTGTGTGGCATTGAACAAACGTGCAGATGGCAAAGGATGTCGTAACGTTCTTGGCCTGGGCAGCAGAACCAGAAATGGAGGAGCGAAAGCTGGTGTGTATGCTCTGAACTGATCATGATGGCGCCCGGCTAGTTAGCCCTGTATTTGTGTACATGTTTTTGGTAGATGGATTCCATTGATGTGTGCATGGCTGCCAGGCAACTTTGGCTGAAGCTTCCTGAAACCCTAAACCCATGGAAGAAAGAAGTGCTAGTTTCTTCGCGGCACATTCTGATGGAATTAGATGTGAAGAGGATGCTGTGGCGGCGTGCTCACATCACACACCTGTTCCTCCTCCTCCTCCTCCTCCTCACCCCCCTGTCTTCCTGCCGTTCTCTGGTACTTTCCTCTCCATCCTGCTCCCGTCAGTGTTTGAAGCTGTCGAATACAAATGATGTTTGGGGCTAACTTCCTTTTTTCTAAAAAAGAAAAAGTCACCCAAGATGAACGATTTTGACAATCCGGTTCAGGTCTGAGGTCTCAGAGTTGAGTTAAACTTTGCTTCTGCTCCATATCGATTGGTAAGACGTTGAAAGTGGTATATGGACATGTTGGCCAGACTGAGTTGTACTCTCTGGTTCCAACTCACATGGACTGGGAAGGTGAGTTGGATCCTCCGGACGTACTTTCTATTTTCTGTTTCTTTTTCTTTGGGAAAGCGGGTGGAGTTAAACCTTTAGGTGTCGATGCGATTGTAAGGATCCGAACTCCTGATCTGTTTATAAACAGTTTCATGTCTGCACTTTCAGCGTTATGGGCTGGGTCCGCTTTCGGCTTTCTGTTCGCTCACTTGCCCCCCTGTTTATGCACTCGGTCGGTTGCCATGACTACGGCTTTGTGGTTGCCGGAGTGGAATGGAGCATGACTCATTCGGATATGCTGTGGCTTCTTTCATGCAGATGGGGATGAAGTTGATACTGGCACTCTCCTTTGCTCTGCTTACGGCAGGCTACTACAGGCGATGGAAATGGGCTCCTCTGAAATCCAGACGGATTGTTCTGGATGTCGTCAATTAAATAGGAAGCAGAGGACTTTCGCCGGACTCCTTTGACATGTGATGATGACTTATTTACTTCATATGGCAAGAACTGCAGCAACTTCAGAACGGGTCATTGTCGAGTTGCTTCGACTTGGTCGTCGTCGTCACCAGGGCGCTGCCTGTTTCTCCTGGTGGTAGTCTGATGATACGTTGACGGGAATGCAAGGCTGCCCAGGTTCTGAGACTGAGTTTGTCTTCTCTCCATAGTGTCCTTTAAGACTGTGATGAGTGTCTGTGAGATGAGCGGCTCTTGCAGCGTATCCACAGTAATTGAACCAGCCATTGGTCCTGGACTGAATCTTGGTCCTGGACTGGATCATGGACCTGGGCGTGCTCACACTCCTGGGTTCAAATATTTTGCTCTTTTGTTGTTGTTGTTGTTTGATATCGAGAAATTGTGGGCAGGAGCATCAGTGGAGTGGATCTGCTGACAGAAGCGTGCATGGACCTTGCACACACTCATGTGTGAGTGTGTCGGTGCGCAAGTGTGTTTGTGTATGTGTCGGCAAGTTCGCGCATGTCTGTGCAGATCGGTGGATGGGTGGGTATGGTTATGTGTGGATTAGAAGTGTTGGATCACTCAGTTCATGGCTTTGGTGGGCTTGTGTGTGCTTCGGTGGATTTGTATGAAAAAGAATGTCAGCAGCTGCTGTCATTGGTCTCAAGGTCTGTACCTGCCCGGTAATGTGGGTTTGTACAGAGGTATACTCATTTTGGGAGATGAGCTGAGGTATTCTGGGACTCTGGGAATTATGGGAATCAGAATCTGGGATTTCTGGCGCTCTGAGGTTGTACGGCTTAAACATTGTCCCTCTGTGTAGACCAGCAGTATGTTGATTAATAGTTGTTCATGCTTCGAAATTGTTTCTTCCCAATAGTGTTTTTTTTTTTTTTTTCTCGTTAATCTTCCTCAAAACGTGGTCATCATCTCCACCTTCCAAATAGTCTGGAAACATCATTTTGCAAATTTGCGCGCAAACACTCGCTGCCAAAGTTGGTAGGCGATATCTCTTTTAATGTGCAGGTAAACGGCTTTTTTTTTTTTTTTTTTGCATGAAGTTGGAAATTGGAATGTCATATAATTGTCCTCTGGGACATCAGTTGAGATTTGACCGTCGTGCGAGGGGGGGGGGGGGGGGGAGGGGGAAGGGAGGGTGTGGAATAGAAAAGGCATATAGCTGACATCGTTTGGGTGAGAAATCAGGGACTTGGATTTCTGCATGCAGTGCCACCTGAGGATCATCCTTGTGCAACATTTGCCGCTCTGAGGATGTTCATTTTTGCAAAGCAAAAGGTACACTTTTTTTTGTTTTTTTTTTCTTCTTTTGCGTTCTCCAGACAACGGCTCCCGTCAATTGGTGGAGAGCTGCACCTGCTGAGGACCAGGCCCTGCATCCCCATGTCACGGCCCCGGCAACCCTGACAGCCTTGATCGACTGTCAGTCGCACCCATGCATTTGCGCCAATGCTCCTACATATCCTGCTGAATCCCCTTTAAGAAGCAAGCCCCAAATCAGGCAGAGCATGCGCCCTTTCCGTCCTCCCTAACAACCTTCTGTCTCACCGTCCTTAAGCTACTTTATTTGGCTGTCCGCTCCTGCAAATCCCTTTATCCCTGAAAGCTCCGGTCTCCCAAATCCCTTTATCCTTCGTTCCTTATTGTTTTTGCAACCACCCCCAGTTTACGTAATTCCCATGCTAAGAATTGACATTCAGCCCCCCCAAGAAAAAGGAAAACAAGAAATGAAAAGAAAGAATTGACATACCCTCCGCACTTCTAGCCTCCTGACAGAAGGATGCCTTGCACCTTGCCAACCATAAAAATTTGGGTCTTTCCCCTTCTATGTGTACTGCCCTGCCCCTTCCCGCGACTCCCTGTATGAAACTGTCCCGTATCTCGTGCGTCTTTTCCGGGTTTCCCTTGTTCTTCCCGTGGGTCCTTTTCCATTGTGCTTGGTAATATCTCTTGCAGACATCTGAGACCCTCCTCCGCTTCTCTTGTGTGCACAGGTTTCTGTTTTATGGTGATCTGGTTTTCCAGACTGCCCACATGGCGTATCGTCACAGCTTTTGGAAGCATTCATGTTGGATACAGGACCATTGTTTTGGTCTGTGTACCGATCAGTATCATGACTGGGTCCTCCAGGAATGGTTACAAGTACGACAGCAATGCATGTTGCCATGCATATTGGCACAACACCAATGATTGAAAGGATGTAACTCCAAAGACTAGAGATCAAAGGTATTATAAAACATCCGAAAGAGTGGCTCCCCGCCCGATTTCGACCGCGGCCAAGCGGTCTTCGACAGGGGGTTTCTCCCACCAAACGTCACCCTCACACACCATAGCCCGATCTTCGTTTTGCCCCCGTTCCATCACCAGAGATGGTGACAGCGATGTCAGTCCCTGATATCGGATCCTGAATTTCTCAATCATTGCTGAAACCACCAGTACTTGGCCCAGCTAAAGGCCAGCGGAAAAAAATAGAGTAGAAACGTTTCCAGTCGGATGAATTTGGGCGCTCCTGTAGTGGCCCATACGTTTCCTAAAATTGTGGCGTGTTAACGTGCACAGCTTATTAGGAAGTACTGGTGGTTTAAGTACCAACTCAGGTACCAACCCCATGCGGACTATGCTACAAAAAGCTATGACTTACAGTTGTCCGAATACTGGAACTACGAGACCCTGGGTTCAGCATAGGTTCGTTGGCAGGGCCTGGCACCATAGACTGGTACCACCACCACCACGAGGATTGCTGAACCCGGTTGAGCTTCGACTCCCAGTCTGGTAGGAACCATTCAGAAAAAGCTTACAGAATATTAAAACGCAATAGACAGTACGACAGACACCAATGGGTTCCATGTGTTCGCTGGGTCGAAACCGCCACACAATGCAACACTGAAGATAACTGACTCAGCTGGAAAACTTCAAGCACAAAATTCAACAGTGCCCGAAGATCACCGGCTCGAGGCCCATCTGTACTACTGGTATACCCTGTCAAAATGTCTTCCCATCTCAGGTAGTATGCTCCAAACCAGTGGTCGACTTGACCGGTTTCTACAGAAACTCATAAAACATAACTATTCTGTGATCACACCCTGTTCACACAACGAGATATTGGTCACTACAGCCAACTGTGACAGCTTACTACAAATACTGCCACATAGCGAGCGACACATGGTTTACCTCCGCCCGTTGGCGAAACGCTTGAGCACTCTCAGAACAAACCACTCAGGAAAGCCTTTGGTGTGCAGTCCCCGCTTGAGTGTCATTACGCCGTGTGGAGTTTCCTCCCTGGCAGACGTGTTGCAAAAACTTGCAATAAATCCTGTGCAGATAGCCTGCAAATGCTGCACCTTCTATCTATCTAGTATAACTACTAAAGGAAGAAGCGGGCCCTGTAAGACGCTTCGCCTGGGCCCAGGACAAACGAGGCCCGCATGGCATTTGGGCGGGACAGCGGGTGTTCCCCAAATGGTGTATGGAGCAGGCATTTGTTCCCCCGGGCGGCTGACGTGGGCTCGAGGTTAGCCGGCGCGTTGTTTTTGTTCTGTCGAAGTCGCAGCAGGATCTTTACCGTTTCTGCAATGGGGACTCACCGTTTTTTGTCGTTTTGCAGGTTGTGTTCTTTTTGTCTTTAGTGGTGCCGGTGCGAGTTCGAGTTGTGATGGCCGCAGTAGGTTTTGTTTTGTTTTCAGCTGTCCTCCTTTGTTGCTTCCTGCCCCACGCGTCAAAGAGCACCGTATTTGAAGACGAGTTCATAGCAGACATCTTCTTCAGTGTGTGGCTACAATTTGTGCCTTTGTCGTTTTGTGGCCCATGTTCAAATTCGAGTTCATGGTGGCCATTTTGGCCACTGCTACAGCACTCTTGAAATGTGCAAAATGAGAATGCAGTTCACGCTAGAACATGGCCAGATGCACCCGCCACATTATTGTCTCTTCCACATTTTGACTTTTGGGGGGCACACACACTAGAATTTGGGATGCACTTAGGGCCTCGTAACACCACTCTCGAGATGTGAAGAAGGCAAAAATGTGGCAGGTGCATGTTCTAGTGGACAGTTCATTCTCATTTTGCAAATTTTGATAGCAGTGATGCCCTTGCACTCTCGTGTTACGTCTTCTTTCATGGCGGTTACGTTTTGTGGTCCATGTTCGAATATGAGTTTATAGCGGCCATTTTTGCCACCGCCACACCACTCTCGAAATGTGCAAAATGGAAATCCACTTCACCCTAGAACAGAGAAGAACACAGATGCACCCGCCACATTTTGTTCTTTTCCATGTTGCGATTTTTTGGGGCACGCTCACAATGGAGTTTAGGACGCACGTAGGGCCTTGCCACACCACTCTCGAAATTTCAAAAAGACAAAAATGTGGCAGCAACATCCGGCCATGTTTTAGCGGGAAGCTCATTCTCATTTTGCAGATTTTGAGAGTGGTGTGCCAATGCGCTCACACTCCTGCTTCGAATGCAAGTGCATAACAGCGTTTTCTTTTAGAGCGTGGTTACGTTTTGTGCCTTTGTCGTTTTGTGGCCCATGTTGAATACAAGTTCATAGCGGCCATTTTGGCCACCGCCACATCACTCTTGAAATAACATGCAAAATGGGAATGCACTTCACGCTAAAACGTGGTCAAATGCACCTGCCACCATTTTGTCTTTTCCACGTTTCGACTTTTAGGGCATGCTCACAATGGAATTTGGGACATACTCAGGACCTCGCCACACCGCTCTCGAAATCTGAAAAAGGCAAAAATAGTGACAGGTGCATTGGACCATGTTCTATTGGGAAGTTAATTCTCATTTTTCAGATGTTGAGGGTGGTGTGGCAAAATCATTACACTTCATGTTTTACTTGATTACTGCCTGGGCCATGCTCGAACTACGTTATGCCACTGCGGCAGCACCGCTGCGGTGTGTCGATGACTTGTTTTTTTTAAAGAATTGCATTTTTTTGTGACTTGCTTCCTAAAGATAACGTAAAATTGTACACGATTGAATTTCAAAACTTGCATGTTATCTTTTCATTCTTGGACAATGGGATGCAAGTAAAACATTCACCACTGATTCAATCACTCTCAGTTTGCACGCAAGGAATTTTAAAGTCTCCCTTGTCAGTATGTGATAAGAGTTTTGGGATAATCCAGATTTTCTTCGCAACTCCGAAGTCTTCAGATCAACTCACAGCAATCAAAATGACATCGTCAAGGAAATGTACATAATGCACCGACATGCCCAGTCTTCAAATTTTTGAACACGATGTGAGCGAATAAAATATAAGGTAAAGGTGGGCTCGTACTTTTGGCCACCAATATCCCCTCTCTCTGATTTAGCAACACATTGCGTGTTATGATCCAACTCAAATCGGACAAACAATTTGATGTTAACTTAATTTCAAAACCAATCAACAGTCCTTTCAAGTGGTTCTACCGAATCCAATCTCTGTTCTTCTTGTGTTGAAACAAATAAAGTCATATAGTTCTCCTCGTTATACTAGATGATCCAGTCCACAGCTCCGAAGAAACCCTCATATCCTTTATGTTGTAGGATCTTGTCGCTATCGGCAACCTCTTGCTAGACCT